GCAGCAAGGTGGCGGGGGGGGTGGACAGGCGTGTGTCGCTCCCCGCTGCAGCGAGAGGCTCCCATCGCACGCCGCTTCCTCTCTGTGCGGCGTTTGGGCTGCAACTGCCATGCAGCGGCGAGGTGAAGGAGCCTCCTCTCTGTCCCGAGGTCAGGCCGCACGTGCCCTCCCGTAGCCGCCGCGCCGCCGCGTGCCACCTCACCTTACAGGCTGAGTCAGCTCACGCTGCAGTTAGTGGAAGACCTGCAGATTTTTCACCTGAGCTCGCTTGGACCGCGGGTTACATCAAACCCATGTTCACCAAACCCCTGGGTACGTCAAACCCTGGTGTCACCTTTGTCACAGAGCGCGGATACAGCCGTCTGCAATCCGATGAGCTGATGCAAGTCTAACTGCAAGCGCAGGATGGGAATCATGTGCAGCATCGCCTCGGTAGCCACGCGGTCACGGCCAGCAGTCGTAGTCGTGCCAGCAGCTGCAGGGAGGCGGTGGTGCTCCAGCTCTCCACCTCGGAAACCCAAAGGCAGTAACCAGGCCTTGAACCAGTTCTTTTCCCATTCTCAATTTAGTCGGGTTACTCCGTGGGGGTGGACAAACACAAAAGTAGATGTTCCCATCATCTCCCATTAGGCAGGTTTGGGGACTAGATAGGACAGACTAGCAGCTTCCATTAGCTGCATCAAGGTGCGATACCACTGCCATTTTGTGGTGGCGATGGGGCCTGGCAGGGTGCTGAGAAACGTACCCTGCTGATGCCCAGCTCCATAACACTGTCCTGTTTGTTCACAGCAATTCTCAGCGCTGACCGAAGTGATCTTCCGCTTTCTAACAGAGCCCAAGGAGGTAAGGCCCGTGCAGGACGCCCAGAAGCGCTCCACTGCCGCTTTCTGGCGAGACATGTGCAGAGATAAGATTGTGTGCCTGTTTTTTCTCTTGATCAGGTGGAAAGGTTTCTGACCCAGCTCTCAGACTTTGCCACCATGAATAAACTCAGCTTAGGCCCTCTGAAAAACATCGTCAAAAGTATTCTTCTGGTACCTAACGGTAAGCAATACGTGTGCATATACTAGCCGGTGGCCAAACTACTGTGTCCATTCCTGCATGCTGCTAAAGTCCATTCATCTTCAGAACTGTGGTGCATTTGATTTGCACAATAAGTGCTAATGGTAGCTAATGATGACTGAGGAGTCAAGCATCAACAATGAATTGTCAACAATTCCAAAATCACCCTCCCGTTGAAGTATCCCTGTTACTGAGTCAGGCTTTGTCCTCTTTACACCCTGCACACAGGTTTCGTTTCACAGGTTTAACTAAACTCACTTAAACATCTATTTATTAAATGCATGCACAACACCGTGTCACAGTAACAGAGCTTGGTTTAACTCATACCTGTAAATCCACATGTTTTGTTACACCAGTTCAAACTTATATCGGCACTAAATATTTGTAGGAACTACCGTCTAAGTGACCCGGTACGGTAATTCCCACAAGGACAAAGTGCTGCTTGAGACAGAGGAGACAGTATTCACACCTCTCCAGAGCCGGCTGGAAACCGGCGTAGTTCCAGGTCACATAAACGAGACATCTGTCCTTGAAGTCTTGTTTTAGAAAAACACTTACGTGTCCAGCAATTTCTCATTCATAAGTAGTGAGGGAGGGGGGAATTCCCTTTGAACACCCCCATCTGACTCTAGCGCTGTATAAGATTACTCTGATGTTACGGCTGCCGTTTGACAGGATAACGTGCCAACCGCCTCCGCTGCGAGTTCATCCCATTGATCCTTCCTGTTATTAATAGTCGTCTTACTAGTATCCTTCAGGCCCGGGTTTCCCGTAGCTCTCCTCACAGCTGTGAAGCCATGCATGACTTTTTTCAGCACTTGGTTTACACTTTCATCCTACCACTTTGGGCCATTTCTTCTGTCCTGGAGAAGCTCTGAATAATTTCCTTTCCTACAACTGTCTTGTAGGCATTTAACCTGGAATCGGCTTTCCCCCCCTTCCTGTTCCTGGAGTAGGTACGTTTAGCCTGGTCTCGCCGTCCCTGTTTATGTGCACGCGCTGCAGTCCTTCTGCAACTGCTGGCTAGCTCTGGGACGCCACAGACATATCAGAACACATTGCAGCAGATAACTTTGCCTACGTGCTGCACAGCTACAAAGCCACGCGGGGCCGGCAGGCTCCCTGAATTTATGAGGTTCCTGCTCTTGCCTTGGAGAACAGGATCCTTGTAAACGTCCATGTGCTGCCTGCGCCCCAGAACAAAGGAGGCAGGCGCAGCGGGGGAAAGTGTTATGGGCACATGTTCACACCCATAATCCAAAACACAGCAGGTAGGTCAAATTAGTAGCCTGCCAGCCTTGACAGTTTTCCTTTAACAAGCAAAGCTTCTATAGGAGAAGGAGCAGTAACTTCAAAACAAGGCTGCTGCTGCTGTTACCATGGATACCTGCACTGAACTCGCTCGCTCTCAGGCGCTTAAACAGGGGACTGACTTTTAAAGCACTGGGCATCTGCAAGGATACCAGCAGATGCAACCGTATTTCCCGTTTCAGTGAGTTGTGGTTTGTTTCAAAACACAGTCCATGAACAAAGTCTTTCTGTTGCAGGGTCTCCATCTCTACGTTTATTTGACTCAGTAAAGACTGTTGACTTTTCTTCTTTGCATTGTTTATTTAGGTGCCCTGAAGAGGAATCTGTCTTCTGAACAAGTCAGAGCAGATTTTATCGCTTTAGGTAGGTCACCTGACTTTCACAAAATAAAAGCTAATTAATAGTTACCATTTAGTAATCTCATGCGTTTTCTCCCACAGGACTCAGTGAAGAGAAAGCAAGTTATTTTGCAGAACAGGTATTAATATTTTTTGTTTGTTTCTAAATTAACAACAACGTAACAGGCTTGGAATGGGAACGTGCAAAACCCCGTTGAGATACTGAGATGTACCAGCACTTTGGGCAGTTGCTTCAAAACCAGCTCAGAATCCTGAACTGAAGATCTTCGGATAACTGATAAGAAACACTCGCTCTAATGACACTTGTTGTTCAGAGCGGCCTGTACCTCACAGGTTTACTGACTCCTGCAGTTCTGCGTAGCTTTCATCTGATTGTTTTCCTCCTTCACCCGCTGAGAGCCCAGTGCTTACGCAGTTCCATGAACACATGACTTTTTGCACAGATATTGTTACATTGAACCAGTGGTTTAAAAAATAATAATAATAATTACCCCCCACCCCCCACCCAAAACACAGTTTCCAGAAGTGACAAGGCACACGGAGCTCCTAGCAGGACTCCAAACGTCTTTGAAGGCCCTCCTGTCTGCATTAGTTTGTCCCTTTACACACATCCACTTTGCACTTCTACCACGATTCTGACTCGTTTCAGGGTTATGCTGAAATTACAAGTAGCGTCAATAGAGGAGGTCTTGGCCAAACTGATTGTTCACATGTCTTGTGCTCTTGCAGTGGAAGCTGAATTCCCCCACGCTAACACGCCTGGCTGTTGGTCAGACGCTGATGATTAACCAGCTGATAGATATGGAGTGGAAGTTTGGAGGTAATGGAGCTAAAACATAAACTGATTGGGGTGGGAAGCCTGCAGCATGCAGAGACTGAAACCCAACAGCAGCTCTCAGCCAAAGAATTTTTTATTTCACAGTTTAGGTAACAGATTATCTCCCCTCTCTTCTTTCTGACTCACAGTGACTGCTGGGAGCAGTGAACTGGAAAAAGTGGGAAGTATCTTCTTGCAGGTAAATCACCTACATCAGAAAGTTCAGGTTATAGTGCGGTTAAGGCACAATCTAAGACCAGAAGAAAGCTGGATTTCATAGGAACAGGCCCTACAACAGCGCATGTTCTCCTGTCTTCTCAATGCAAGTGCCAGCAGAAAGCAGGCACGCAGCTGTTTGTTTCTCTTCTGAAGACATCGTGTATCACAGAAGCGCAACCCGCTCTGAAAAGCTGTTCAAAAAGCTCAGTCTAGCAAAGGTCACGCTATCTCGGGGCGGGGGGATGTGATCATTTATAAGGAGCTCCAGACATCCTCCCAATGCCTAGGGAATCTATTCCTACAGTGACATGTCCTGAAAAGCCTGTCAGTCAAAGAAGCCTGTGTCTTACAGCAGTTTACACGCTCTAAAACTCACAGCAGAATGTCTTTTCATGATGCTTGGAATATAGGACCATCTTAATTAAAATATCTCTGCTTTTTCTCCCCCCAAGTTGAAGCTGGTGATCAAAAAAGGGAGCCAAATGGAAAATGTATACATGGGTAAGTTAACTGTTCTAGAAGAGCAGCAAATATTTAAATAGGTGAAAGCTGAGTTGCACCTCCGAGAGACTGTGGGCATTAACGGAGACAGAGGAGCTTTGGAAGCAGCCCCAGCAGGGGTCACTGTGAGAGCATCGCTGGGCAGATGCTGACGGCTGTTCCAGCCCTGGCCTCTCCCTGCTGCAGTCGCTCTGGGAAATATTTAGGAACATTAATTTTTGGACAGTCTTTGCATCTTTGCATAAGTAAATACAGAACCGTCAAAAGCAGTCAGGAAGTAGCAGGGCAGAAGAAGAAAGTAAACAAGAAGAAAATTGCAGAGTGTCAGTTCATGTTATGAAAATCCTAGCCTGGAATCCCCATGCAATCCAGCTAGAGTAAAGAAACAGCTGCCAAGAGTCAAAATATCTAATCCTGCCTAGCTTAGGTGAATGTGAGTTGTTCTGCAATAGCACCAGAATGGCTTTTCCAGTATTGGAAGCATAACCTGAACTCTAAGATTTTATGCCTCTATTTTCTAGAGTTAACTTTGCCGCAGTTCTACAGTTTTTTGCATGAGATGGAACGGGTCAAAACCAGTCTGGAAAGCTTCAGTTGAAACTGCATGGGCCTGAACAGACATCTCTCCAGGATGTTTAATTTCTCCTTGTGGGCCTGCAGATCTGCGCTTTCCCAGCTGACTTACAACTTGATAAGAGAAGACAGTACCGTGTAGCAAGCACTGGTGTGAAGACCCAGAAGGACCCATCAGTCCTTTAGTACCTGAAACTTCTGCAAGTGTTTTGAAGCAGCTACAAGAACAAGTCCATTCACCTCTTTTTTATACTGTTATAAGAAATTGTTGTCAGAGATATATGGATGCTTGTATTGAAATAGCAAAGAAATAAACCCATTCATGTCCTCCTCCGTTTGTATCAGAATCTGGTATTTCTGAGAAAGAGAAGCACAGAAGCAAAGTTTCATTTTCAAACTTGGAAGAGTTAAGCAAATAGGACAGAGAAGTGAGGAGAGCTCCTAACCTGATGAATCACTTAATGTTCACTTCCAAGCCTCTCGCTTCTCTTGTACTGAGAAATGGACTGAGAAATGGTCCCAATCATGCCGCATTATGGAAAAGTATCTAAGCGGTAGATGATTTTAAATCTTAACCAACCAAGCATCTGCCTCCACACAGAGGGGAAAAAACATCTCAGGGGGTGACTAGACAAACCTAGTTTTGTGTATGCTGGGGTCTAGTGAGCATCTCTTTAATCTGCAGTTTGTATGAAATAACGCAGTTAGATGCAGCGCATTTCCTTGTGGACATATGTCCAAACGCCATGAAGCACCATTAGCTTGACTATTCAGTTGTCTAATGGCAGGATGAGCCCTTCACTGGGAAGCAGAGGGGTGCCCCTGAGCTGACCGCAGGCACAGTGAGAAGAAGATGCCATGTTCACTGAGGCTCCTCTTATGTCTGAGCTGTCCAATTGTCCAAGGTTATAGATCCTAATACCTTTTGGCCGCCCAAGTTCAGTATAACCTCTCCCCACAGCACTGGTCCAAGTGATGTTCCCTCTTAGAGCGCGTGCTTTCCACCTCTGGGATTTCCTGAGGAGCTGGTACGTCCCTGATGAAGTCAGCAGTCACAGTAGACAGGAACGAACTGTAACACTGTGATAGGTACCAGTAAGACGCTCTCGGGTGGTTTCCAGCCTGCATCTGAAGTAATTCACTGACTGTGGCATGCCACAAGTCGGTTATGAAACAACAAGCACCACAGCTCCCTTTGTGTGGATTTGCTCCCAGTTAAAGCCACGCACGGTAAGATAGTTTCTATGCCAAGAGAGTTGCAAAGCTCCCTGCAACCCACTGCTTTAAGCGCAGACTTTCAGCTTACAAAAAACTTATTTCTTTGCCTATTTCTGCACTGCATGCAGTTCTGCACGAGTAACCAGAACCAGTAACAAGTATAGGCTGTGCCACGTGTTTGGAAAACAGCACAGGGAGTCCTGCTGGCAAACCCCTGGACAATATTTGCATATTTGTTTTCTCACGTATCAGTCCATTCACAAGCAATTCAAGCTTGGTCACGTGACTATGGTAAATTAAAAGCAAACAAAAAAAAAAATCCGTTGAAATAATGTCCTGCAAAATATTCCCTCTCCTTTCGGGTGGCAGCAAAAGCTATTTCGGGGAAGAAGAAAGGGTCTGAAGGGCTGCCTTCTCTAGACAAAAGGAATGTCTTGGCTTTACGTTTTCTGCTGCCTGTTCCTATTATTTCTCCCAGGCCTCCCGGTGCCGGGGCAGCATCGCTCAACCGCCTGCAGTTGCAGCGGGAGGTGGGCCACGGCGCTGCTCTAACAGATGCCGCT